GTGATTTTAAATATTGTAGGCTGCTGGTCACCTCATGGAGCCCATGGCAGCAGAATTTGGCCAGGTCGTTATTCACTGAGGGAGAAAAAGGGAACTTAACTTTTATCCATGTTTTCATGACATGCTGGATACTCCACTTAGGCAACTATCTAAGGGCAAACACTTTAACCCCTTGAGATCTGCTAATCAGGAGCACCAGCTGTTAAGTGCCAGCGTGCATCCTGCATTCATGCCTGCGGGGAGAGAAAGGGTTGCAAAGGATATGACCCTAAACTTCAGAAACCGCTTCTCTCCTTGGGGGCAAAATATCATTCAGCTTGCATCTTCTCTTGTTTTCTTTTAGTTTATCCAGTTAATGTTCCTGATGTGGGTTGTTGTGCACTCACTGTGAATGCTTCAAGCCTTTTGGAAGATGATAGTTAATTACTGAAGTTAAAATCTGGCTTGCACTGGTGTGGAAGTGCTTTCAGAGGTATTTACTCAGCGAGCTCACTGAGCTGCTAAGGGAAGGGGAAGGCTGCTACTATCTGGCTCACAATGAATTACTGCAAATGCATGTTCTGTTTTTTAAAAAAAGCACATTGCACAGTCATTTTTCACAATAGTGCTGGTACAATATTAGATCAGTCTCACACTAACTTACATTCGTACATTCATTTAAAACAAGCAATGAAATCCATTGTGTAAAAACCTGTCACAAACACAAACCAAATTTATTCCCTGCAGAGTAAAATACAGTCAAAAGGTGAAAAGGCAGTTCTTTATTGTTTAAATGCTGCTTCTTTTATCCCTCTCTTTAGTTTCTGAAACCAGTAGCACTGTTAAACAGACAGATATGTATTGATGGGGAGAAAAGATAGAAAATATTGCCTTTTTGACATATTTTGTGTTCTCTTTTACAGATGTCAATGCTCTCCAGCCTAGTATTTTTAACCCTTCCTCTAGATTATTTCTTGTATGACAGTAAATTGAAATCTGCATTTATTACTGGACTTCATAATTTACTACCCTGAGAAAAACACTTCCAATAATGGGATATCCATGGAATCAGTGGATTGAGTTCTTCCAGCTTTTACTATAAACCACTGCATCAAATGTACTTTGTATGTGGGCTTTCCAGATAAGCAATGTTTAAAATACCTTAGCAGCGTGTGGATGTTTTGTAGCCATCTCAGTAAAAGCATGACTTGACCCCAATGTCCTGAGAAGCAATATCCCTCTCTCCCAATGTCATGTAGCATATGCTGTATTTTTTGTCACCTGAAAAGGCTCAAAAGCATAAATAAAATGTAATTGGTTACTATGGAATGTTATGCCATACTGCTGTACTCTCAGCTTAAAGAGAAAGACTGAGCGTGGCAAAGAAGGTGTTGAATTTGTGTCAGATTTCAGCAAAATAATTCCAAAGGGAGTTGAAAGCTCACGATGTACTTAAACACTGAGCTTCTCTCACCTGTAAAGGCAGGTTGGGTTCAGACCTCCCTTTGTGCCTTGAAAATCTCTTCCTTTGTCTGTCTCTGTCACCGGAAAACTTTCTACAGGCTATCGCACACATCAGTGGAAGTGAGCTGAATCTACATGGTATAACAGAAGTCTAGCTTAAGCTTGAAGAGAAAAAAAACCCTCATCACAAAATGAGATTTAATAGGGGACTAGCAATATGCATATTTAAACACATTTGTTTTAGCCACAATAAGGGAATAGCTGCAGAACATGTAGATGCAGAGGAGGAGGAGAGGTTTACTCATGTATACAGAAAACAAGTCATGCTGGCTTTATCCTATGCCATTGATTTCATCCCTTTTCCTTTTCTTATTCCAAGATATTTTTCTTCCAAAACAGAATCCTTTGCAACCCTAAGCTTTGTTGACCAGTCTCTCTAAGTACTTAGGTAGTTCCCATCACGATAGTATCCAAGGCATTCAGAGGTGGAAAAAAGGGGGTAGCAGACCACTCCATATCTCTGCTTTGGATTGTCTCTAACCCCCTGGCATCTCAACAAGACACTTGATTTGGGCAAAATCATACTTCCCTCTCCTTTTCCTTTTAATTACCTATGACTGAGGATGTCAGAAGTGCTTTTGGGTGACCTGCTGATCACAACCCATGGGTTGGGGGACACTAATCAGCAAAAACTGACATTTCTGGGACTTTACTGACAAAATACTTCAGAACAAGCTTCCCATTAAGCACACCAGCCCACTAGGACTGTTCTTATGTTCCATTGCAAGCATATGCTTTGCTGATTTGCTAGATCAGGAATTTTTGATCAAGTGTAGTTCATACTATTAGTCATGTCATTCCCTTAATGATGATAAAAAGGAAAGTGTCAGTTCACTAGTAACTGCCTGCAATCTGCATCACAGAAATGGACAAATTAACTCTTTCAAAGGTAAGTTCAGAAGCCTGTCTGGCCATTAAGGAGTGTTATTATGCCTTGTCATGAACCTTTTTCCTTTTTGTCCTGAGGCTACAGTAATTTCCAATAAAGACCATCCCTCACTGGTGGGGTGACATATATGTTCACAGCCATGTAGCACTCGAGCCTGCCAGCTCCAGTGGGAGGATCTCCTGGTTCATCCTTGCAGCACACAGCTCAGAGGACAGCTCAGGACAGTGGTTAACCTCGTGCATGGATGATAGTGTCTTAAATTTTTCTCATATCTTAATTTCTGAGAGTTGCTCTGATGTTGAGCCAAAATGCTACTGGGACATTTTATTTCCTGGTAATCAAATGAAGCTACAAGTAAGGCTGTAAAGCATGTGCAGTACTCACACAGCTCTGGTCCCATGGATATCTGTGGTGAAACAGGAAAATCCCACCTAACTGCACATTTATGTGTGAGAATAAACACAGAAATGAGCTACTGTGTTACACCAGTGTTAGGGTTTGCAGCCAGAGTACCTTTACTGATACTTTCCAGGTGAATTGCCACTGGAAAACCTGCAACAGATTTAAGTTATAATTATTGTCACTATTATCAGATTTTACAGCATATGTAAGTATGTATTGGTTTGCTCTGTTGTAAGAAGATTTTGGGGGGTTTTAATTTTAAAATATAATTTTTTTTTTCAGAGCCCATCCCTGTAAATCCCAGTGGTTGGAGAGGGCGGGGAGCAGGGAGCAAAAGTCGTACATACAATACCCCAACCCCTGGCAATTAGCAAAACTATCTGTCAGATAACCTTTCTAAGTTGTCACTATTTTATTTACTGAATTAATTAATTTCATTTCTGATACAGCTGAAGAACATATTTTCATTGATATGAAGAACATATTGCAAGTCAATTATTCTTGTAGAGCCAATGTTATTTTAAATTATCTTTTCATATCTTTTATCAAGGATACCAAATGAAATCATTCACTATTAGTTACTTTTCTGAATTTTTTAAAAGGTGGTGCTGAGCTATAAAGTTGAGTTGGGTAAGTGAGGAGGTGAATGATGTTTACATTGACATGAACCTAATTACGGTTAGACAAGCCCTTAAATTACAAGAGTTGTAGAAAGAGTGATAAGCATTGGGTCCAATTTTAAAAATCCAGTTCTGAGGACTAAACAAGTATGTTTCCAGATGTATGCAAGTTACCTATTGCAGGAACAATGCTTTAGGTGCATGGCCCACAAGTTGGCCACTGAGACACCTGTGAATAGTTGGCCATATTTAAATGCCTCCAGAAGGAAGTCGTGATTGGCACAGGCTGGGCCAGGAAGTTCCTAGGGCCAGACAATGGAAAATGGTTGTCAAATTGCACATCCAAGGGCCACAGTCTTCTTCAGAGCTGAGTATCCTTTAAAATAGAAACAGATTGCAGAATTGTAGCCAATCACTGCCCTTGATAAACCATCTCATGACAAAAGTCAATGTACAAAAGAGAAGAGACCTGAGGTCAGCACCTTGCTAAGCTTCTCAAGCTACAAACACACATCTGCCCTAGGAGAATGCATGGCCAACCAGGGCAGCAGGGAATAGTGGAGCAGAGATGGAGGTACACTTGAGCTAGGATGACCCTTTGCCCATCTGCCTGATGCTTTAGCACCATGAGATGTTCTTGCAAGATGCAGAAGGGAACAGATGCACGAAAGCCAAATTCTGTAGATGAACTTTTCAGCTCGAAGGATTTCCAACCAGTCTTGGAGCTCATACAGGAAGGACCAAAATCCTGATTTCCCCTCAATTCCTCAAAAAAACATTATCAGATTAGGCCCTTAAGGAAAATGAGGAGGGTGGTCTTGAAATGTCTTACACTAGAGGAAACTGAGGAGGAAATCAGTATCTCCCTGCCCCCTTCAGTTCTCTAGTCTTATTATAAGAAAGGGAAGAGGCCTGAGGACTTGCTTTGATCTCCATAGATCATGTCCTGAAAGAAAGCACCTCCGTGTGCACAGAGGAAGGGAGCTGTTGGGCTGTCTGTGTCTGTTATCTGTGTCCTGGTGCTCCTGATCATTACACAGCAGCCATATCCAGAATCCCAAAGTATAACCTAAAGAAAGTGCCTTAGATTTTCCAGATGAAACAGTGATGAAACAGCAAGATGGTCTGGCAGGTCCTGAACAAGGGAACCATAGGCAGGTTTTCTGGATCTCAACTGCAAGTGACAAAAGGTCACCTAAACCTTGTTTTTACAGAGTTAATTCTTTGTGTGGTTCAGGCCCTTAATTCAGTGCATACTCTTAGAATTGACAAAGGGACACTCAGTGGCCTTGCCATGACAGACCCTTAGGTTCTGCAAAATATATTCTGCTCTAGGGGAAGAGACATTTTTAAGAATTTGTTTTTCTTCGGCTTCTCTTGAATTAATGTTAGTAAAAGGTGCCCCAACCTCTTATTTTTCGATATGAACACAAAAATTGCAGCTGCCTGCCAAATCTGCTGAGAGATGGATGTAATAATTTTCAATTGGACTGTTAGCCCAAAGGGAACCTGATAGCAAGAGATTGACAGATGCAGCATGGATTATCTTGTGCTCTGAACTCAGCCCAATTTGTGGTTTGTTGCAGGTGCTAAAGAGATTGATATTGCTGCTACCCTGGAGCACTTGAGGGACCAGAGACCGGGCATGGTCCAGACAAAGGTACTGTCAATAAATCCACTGGGATTTTAAATACATTAAAGGTCTTTCACAGTAGTTGTTTTCATGACAGAAGAGAGAGGGTATGACCTAATTTAACGCAGGTCGCTTGCTGATTACTGTTTGGCTCCCTACCAACTGAGGTTTATTTATGCTGAAGATTTATCTAGGTTACTTTCTTTAGTGTTTACTGTTCTTTCTTGTAGCATCTCCAACATCTATCTTGATTACCATATATGAAGGGCAGTCAAGACAACAATCTATAGCCTGCTAAAGAAAATGTGCATTTGAAAGAATGTTCTTGTTTCATCCTGAACTATGGATTATTTGCTTAGACTCTCTGTGCTTTACTGTGCATGTAATATTTTTTTAAAGCTTCTATTCATGAAAGAAAATGTAACTGCTGCATTTGATTTTTTTTAAGGGGGAAAAAAACCCAGACTTTTTAAGTTAAAGGAAATAAAGTTTTGTAGGAAATCTAGTAAATTTTAGTATCTTTGAATGGAAGAAGCTTACATCGTGCCTACAGCCTTGTCCTTTGTGGATGTAACACGGAAACTATGTTTGTACCCTTTGGTGAGGTGAATGTCTTACTCTCTAATTCCTGTCAGTTGTAATAGTTTTGACATTTTTCCACAATGTAAAACTTTTAAAGATAGCCAGTAGTGTGATTGTAGTCCCTTAAATTAGAAATGAAACTTACTATTATTAACAATTCCAGTGTTGTATGGAATGATATTTTACAGTATTTACTGCAAGTTAAGAGCTGCAAATATGTCAATAAAGAAACTTGTTCCTGGCATGGAGACCAAATAAATCTGTTTATGACATTATAAAATATCAAATGGTAGTTATAGTCCCGAACTGAGTAGCAATGTGACAGCACTCTGTCTTGGCCAAGCTGGAACTGACAGGAATTTCTGCATCATTTAGGGAGCTGAAATTGCTGAGGGGCAAAGGTGAAATAAATGTGCTGCAGAAATCAACATCACTTTCATAACTTTTTCTGAATCTCTTCCCAATCATTCTATTTTCCCACTAATACGAGGGGAAATAGTGCTGAAGAACAGCTGGGGGAACGTTAATTATTATTTACCAATTAAGTAAGTGCATGAAAAATAAAGATAAGCCAGTCAAAGCTAACTAAGCTTTATCTGCAGGTAAGACAAGAAAATCACACAAATCGTTCTTCTGCTTTGATAATTCAGACTGAAAAAAAAATGCAAATAGCACACAGTATTCAATGTCATATATATTTACTCTGAGAGAAGATGCAAGTCCTGGACTACTCTGTAAATGCCTCCAAAATATATAGCAGCTCTGTAGCAACACAGAGCTCATATTCCAGTTTCTTTTTCAGAGCAGAGAAATTATGGTTTGTTGCCTTCAGCAGAAGAAAAAACATCACTCCAGAACCAAAGAATGAGGTTATGTGAACAACTTCTCTTACTTAGCTCGGCAATAGTTACCCTAGTTCCATGAAAATCTCCCTTAAGACATGGTTTTTTCCCTCCAAACATCTGTCTGGAAGAGCTCCAGAAAAAAAATGTATCCTGTGTTTTCATCCAGGATGAAAAATTTTCTCAGGATATTGCTTATCTCTCCTCTTGCTCCTTCTTCCATCATTGTCATTTTCTCAAAACCACCCAAATCACTTATTCAAGCTAATGTCTTGCAAATTATAAATATCTGGTTGCATGCTAGCAATGCACGATCCCCAGAGAATTTTTCTGATGGATTTAAACAAACCCCTGTGCTTTCCCAACTGAATACAAATAAGGAATATTAGACTCTTGGAGTAATTTAAAACGATGGATTAAAAGTCAGGTTAGAAATGCCAATTAGAGAATATCCCCAGGCAAAATAAACATCAACTTCCTTCAGCAATGTTATTGTGTTTCCAGCAGGCAGCGCTCCACATTTCCAGTAGGCATAGGAAAGATTTGTTTGCAGCATTTTGTCTTCTGGAAGGGATCTTTAATTCAAAAGCATTGTATATAATAAATTCTAATGAAATTATCAGAACAACATTCTGCATTTCTGGGAAGCATAATAGAGGGTTTGTGGGTTTGTGGAATTTTTTTTTGCAGAGGAATCATAAAATAGAATTGATATGCTACATGTGAGAGGAAAAAGTAATGAAGGAGGAAGTGTATTCTCTGTGATGGGAAAAATATATATTTCCTTTTTCTCCTCTCTCCTTCTATATCCTTCCTCTCACAACCTGTAATATCAGCTAGATTCTTTATTGTATCATATATGCTACATGTACCCAGTTTGTTTTCCTGTGAATTTTTATTTGTAGACTTAATGAAATATAGCTTATTATTTTTTATCAAGTATAGTCTTGTCACCTCTGCATTATAGGCAGACTGACACCACCGAATGCCCATCCAGCTCAGTTTTCTAGGCAAAGCTAGATGTTAAAATTCATGTCCAGGCAACCTTGTATACGCCAATAGCATATGTGAATGGCAGTGTAGCTGTACAGACTAACAAACTGAGCTCCTTGAAAAATTGCTCTGTGTTCATCCTTGTGGAAGAGTGTGGAAGGTGTGTAAAGGCTTCTCCTTGGACACTGGTGACATACATCAATGAAAACTGCACTCTCTGTGTTTTACCTGTGTGTATTATGCAGAAGGATGGAGGGGGAAGAGCTCAGTTGCACCATCCCAGAAAGGCCATGTCCCCACACATCTTGTGTCTGCTCTACTGCAGTCCCCTTTACTGCAGTGTTTCACTGTCAGTTCTGAGCTCTGGACATAAAGATCACACTTTGTAAGTTGTTTTGCCTCAGCCATTAAGGTCCCATCTGAGGTCTGCTGGTAGTCTCCACTGAATTTGTCTCCAAAATCCATACTGAGTTCCTGTTGCTCAGTCCACAGTCCCCAGGCAAGACAGACACTCTTGCTCGGGGGTGCAATGATGCCCTGTGCTCACGTCAGGGGTGACTGGAGGGTGACCTCCTTGAGGGGTCAGCTGGTCTTCAGCTTGACAGATCATCATAATAAGGTGAACACATCCTGAACCTGCAAGCTTAAAGGGCAGATTTGCTGAGTGAGTTACTTTAGAGCAATGCAAGTTATTTTCAGCAATGGGACTAATAATAAGGTCTTATAGTCCTCAATCTTACAAGGTTTTCCTGGCTGTGGTATACTCAGATGAAGAATACCTTACGTAGCCTCATTACCATGGGGACCTTCCCTCATTCTAAACTGATTCTCACATCCTGAAAGAGGCCCCTGCTCATCTCTGGAACTTGACTGCATCACTGTGTCAGCCCCATCGTGTTCAGATCACCTTCTTCTGTTGTTGTCCTCCCCATTTTCCAAGGACTGGCACGGTGGGGGCCAGCTGTCCCACTCAGAACTGAGTGCCAGCATTCCAGGACCACCTGCTTGGTCCCTCTCCTACCAGCTGCACCACAAGGGTCTCCTACTCTGCCCAGGCTGCTCCACAGGTCTCTTATCTCACAGGGCTGCATCAGTGGGGTCCAGTGACTCCTGCCTTCTCCTGCAAAGTTCTCTCTCCCTGATGTACTTCTCATGCATTAGCCTCAATGTCTTGAAGCCTTTTGAGCTGGTACTAGCTCCCAGTTTGGTTCTGGCGCAGCATGACCACTGGCATGCCCTCTCTGCCCCTGCTGCCCTCCAACTCCTCTCACACATTCACTGTGCTCTAGTTAAAACACAACTGCATGGCCACCTGCATGGCCACCAGCATTCCCAGCCTTTTCTTTAATTGCAGAGACCTTAGGCCATGCAGGGAGCCATAGGCAGTCATATACACCATTTTCAGGGCTAGTGAGGATGAGTCCTACTCTTTAGGGTGAATTGATGTCTGATTAAAAACTGTTGGCTGCAGTCCAGCAAATGTACATGGATGCCACTTTGACAGCACCAAGCAGAAAGCAAAGTTCTCAAATGTCATCATCACTCAGAAATTATTCTGAGTTTTTATTTCTTTTTCTGCCTTGGCACTGTGCCCATCATTGCTTCTCTGAAGTGTCTTCACATGGGAGATGATTCTGCATAGAGGTGAGACAAGGCAGAGAAGACTGGCACTGGATTGCAGGAATTAGAAGTCAACTGCCTTTCTGAACTGTGAGTTGCACACCTGTAGTTTATTCTTTTATCCTCCGTGCAGATTTCTGCAGGAAAGTGAAACACCGTGGAAAATGAACACTATTAGTCCAGTAATCACCTCTGGGGGCTGTCTGTGTTCTGCAACCATGCCACACAGCCCCTGGCAGCACAAACTGAGGGGCTAGAAGTACCAGACCACCAGTTTTCTAATGGAAGGTACAAACAGCAGTGATCCTGGGATGTTTATAGGGTGTATCTCAGACCCCCATTCCCAAAGTCCATTCTTCAGCAGCTTGACTCCAGCTATCTTAAAACTCTGGAGTACTTCTAGAAAATCAGAAATGCCTCCACCGTCCTTACCTGGTGTCTTTGATTTGCCTATCATTTGAGTAAACTGCTCATTGAAAAGTTGCAAACTCCAAATCATTTCAGTAAGCTAAAATACCAAGAAAAATTTCTTGCTTGAAAAATATAACATCTGTTAACCTTGAAGATTTAACAGTCCTTTGTCCTTCTGTAGGACTACAGAGTTCAGGAGCAAGTTAGGTTTGCACTTAAAAGTAGCAGCCATTCATGGCTGTGTCCTTCACACCTCTGCCAGCCCAGCACAGAAACCTGTCAATCATTTTGATGCTGTGGTTACAGTAAATTAATAACTGCAAAAAGCTTTCCAAGTATTTATTATATAGGAGTGGTCTAAACACTGTTGAGTAATTTGTGGGTGTGGAAAGGCCATTAAAAATAGAGGCTTAAAAAGATCAGTGATAGGTAAGCCAAAAAGCAGATATTGTTCTCTATAATAGATATAAGGTGAGGAGATATTTATTCTAGACTGTTTCAACTAAAAAGAGTCCTAGGAAAAGCCGAAGCCTCTGCTTTGCAGCATCTCACTTATTGCGTATCTCAATTATATTAACGAGTTCCCATTTCTGTGTCAGAAGTAAATGGCTGGTGATCAGCTACTCCCAAACCCTTCTGACCACGCAATGGCAATACATCAATTGTGTCCCAATAGCTTATGTTCTGCTTCTAACATTTTTCTCCATTAAAATTACTCTGGCTTCAAGATGCTGTCAAACATGTTATATGACATCAATAATCCCAGAACATTTTGTTCTTTTCCATTGCAGTGCACAGTTCATCCTGCATATTCATATTTTTAACAATGTCTTGAGGATGTTCAGCTCTGGAATAGTGCACCAGGCTTTTGGAAAGTGTTTTGTTTTATTAATCAGAGTTTGTGTTCTCTCTGCAGGAGCAGTTTGAGTTTGCGCTGACAGCAGTTGCAGAGGAAGTGAATGCAATACTCAAGGCCCTTCCCCAGTGAGCAGCTCAGTCTCCTGAAGGCTCCTGCAGAATCCATCCCTCGTTTTCCTCATCCTCAGTCCCTGTGAATGTTCTTGGAAACCGTGACCTGACCTTAACTGTGTATCTTCTGTTGTAACCACGTAGTGATAGGGTCCTTACAAACTCCTTTAGCTGGTAAAAGTTCAACAGTTAAAATGTGTATTCTGTTTTTTGGGGTTTTAAACAAATTTTTAAAAGTACATCAGAGCCTCGGATTAAGTGACAGAACAATCCATCTAATTCCTTTCACATCCTTGAAGCCCTGAATGTCACACTTTGAAAGCACACATTCATGTTCTTAGTAGCAAATATACGATATTGTGGGTAATTAGTGCAGTCAATATAGTCGCAGAAAACGGTGTTCTGTTATATTTGTAACTTCTCAAAAGCCGAATAAGAGGGAGGGCCTGAAGAGGATGGTGATTGTTCCCACACAATGCCAAGCTGGAGCATGAAACAGTGCTGAGGGTGTGAGTAAACACAGGTCCAGGAGGCTCTGGCAAGGAAAGCTTGCACCTTCTCATACCAGGCTTTGGCAAGCAAATGTTTTCTTAGCTGTTGTTTACTTTTCAGCTTTGTGCCATGAGAGGAAGAAAATCTGAACCATAAATAAAACAGGCTCGCACAGTTATTGCAACTGGGGAGGTCATTTTGGTCACATTAATGGGAAGCTGGGGGATAACAAGCACAACAGCTCTGACCATGTACCTGCCACTGACAGCATGGAAAACAGAGGGTAGACTCCCCTCAGGTGATGGGAAAGGCCCTGTCAACAATCAGGTAACTGTCTGGAGCTGTTATGGAAACGGATTGATGGTTTTATGGGATTACTGAGGAAGAAAATGGGACTCTCCTCTTTATATTTTTGCATTTCCCTCTGTAAAGTTCTACAGTGCCACCCTTTTTAGCCAGGAAAATATATTTCTGTAAATGCCTGGCTGAAGGAGAAATCTCGTATCTGCGTTTTATGATTCTCATCTAATTTGTCTGATCCAAAAGTTCATTGCAGCTTTCTGCAGAGACTCTGCTTGCTCCTTGCTCTGAATGATACCTATTTTAACTAAGCATGAAGGGGTAAAGCAACACACAGGTTGAATTTCAGAGACTCTTGTGTTCTCAAGATCCTCATGCCTCCTGCTGAAAAGTAATGCTAAAGTATGTCTGTAAATGGTTTGGTTTATGGAATCTTGCTTCTGTGAATTCACAGGTTTAGTTGTGGCACTCTTCTTAAGGAATTTAAATTATTGATAGAAAGTACTCTGATATGTTTGAATGAAGGGCCTGAGAGTAAAATTATCGAAGGTACCTAAGTGATCTAGGCTCTTAATTTCATTTCCAAAAAATGAATACTTGGATTCTTTTTCATATGTTATCCTACATCTCCATGACTTAAAAATCTGGGGTGCTTTTTTTTCCAAAATCTTAAGTGTGTTGTGTGCTTGAAACCATATTAGGCTAATTGTTTAACTTCAGTGCTGGAAAATATATCATTGAATTTAATTTGGGAAGGGGACACTTTTATAAACTTCTAATCAATGAAATGTAAAAGATAACAGTATCACAGAGTTTTGCTGGCACAGAGGTAATGGGCATCTATTGAAATCAACCATGTTGCAATTTTGTGTTGTAGGTGTGGATATTGGTGATTTTTTCTTTTTAGCAATTAAAGAGTTACTAAAAAAAAAAAAAGCAGAAGGCTTGTAACTTTTTGCCATACATTTTTGTATGCTTTACTTGATATGTGCTGTTGCTTAATTTGTGCATCCCATTACTATAGCAGTGCAGAGCAGTTACTGCAGATGCCATCATCCTCTTAAGTACACATACTGTACATTAAGCCACATGTTTATTTTATGGCCTAAGCATTTTAGAGCTTTCCTAGCAATAACTAAAAAAACTAATGGAGTATAAATGAGAAAATTGCCTTTTTCATTTGATAATTTAGGTTTAACAGGATTCTTTTATTACTTTAGCTAACACAAAATTGCAGATCAGGGCAGATGAGATCGGTTTGAGCCGTATCAGCAAGTGTTTGAAGTAGATTTACTGTGAGCCATGTACTGCAGCTTTCTGAAAATACAGGTAGTTGTATGCAAACAAACTGTCCAAAGAATCAAAATTTGGGCATCCTAACAAGGCCTCTGATTATCGGGCAGAATTGTTTCCCCATGCGAGATGCTGTGCCATTACCTGCTGCCAATGGACTAATGGGTTTTTAGCTCAGATTTCTGCCCTGGGATTCATTAGTGTTCGCCTTCTGACTGTCCCTGTGCATACCACAAACATGCCTGACGAGCCTTTCGTTTGCACTTCAGGAATATTTTTTAATTGTTCTTTTGCAAATATTTGCATTTCATAATAGCAATTTCAGGGTGATCCCTATTAATTCACAAGCAGCTGAGTGTGGGACTTAAATATTTCTCTTCATGCTTCAGAGTTTATTTAGCGTAGATTAGAGGGCATTAATCTTCCCCAAGGCTAATGGGGCAGGAATGTATTGTTTTATTCATACTTGTAGGCCAGTTTACACAACAGAAAGATGCAGTCTTACTCAGAGGGTTAGAGTATCTCCCACTGACCGTCATTGACAATCCTGCTATTTCAGCCATGTTTTGTACAGTTCTTCCACAAAGAGGTGCCAGGCTTATTTTGTTGACTGTAAACGATCACACAGAGTATTTTGTCTGTGCATAGCACACTGTTCACACCTCTCAATAAAAATGCCATGTTTCTGGGGGTGATAATCTGCTGCAGGGTCGATTAGTGAAATGCAGGTTTCAGTTGCACCAGGGCAATCCAGGGGGGTTTGATAATCCATTCCCCAGGAAGATGCCAAAGCCATGGATGAAGCCACAAAGATGGATCTGCCACACAGGGCAGGTATTTGCTTTCACTGCAGTTAACTTAATCCTTGTGATCTGTCAAAGGATGATGTTCATACCAACACCCGATCACTTAACCTGACAGTGAACATGGGGTGGGTCCCATGTCCAGTGTGAGTTGAGCTTCTACCTTAAAACCAGAATCACCTGAGAGCCTGAAGTCAAATGAGACCCACTATCTTTCCCTGTTCAATATTCTGCTTGATCTTTAGTAAACTCATTGCAATTGAAGCTTGGTCAGGTGCCTGATGTGTGGCCATAAACAGCATGTGTTTAACATTGACCGTCCTCGCGTTCTTGATAAAGACAAATTGAATGTACAGGTCCTGTTTGTGTGGTTGAATCTTTAAATGACATTTAAGGGGGTGAGCTGCAGGAGGGTGATTTAACCCCACTGCTCACAGTTTCCTTCCTCACTGGTCAGAGGGAGAAAACCCTGTTTTCCAGCTCACGCAGCTGCTGTCCCCGAGCAGGACAGTGACCTGACCAGACCCCGGGCTTGTGTAGTCACAGCGTGTCCAGGTATGTGGGATGGAGACATGGTTCACCACCGTTGATAGTTCACAGGAGTAACAGCACAGTTGCTCTCTCCAGCCTTCGCCCTTCCCATGATATGGGTCGGGACTTAAAGGGATGGAGGGGCAGGGCAGCACCGTTCCCCAAATCCCAGATCCTCGAGGTTCAGCCCTAGCCACAGGGAAAACAGTGTGGGGTTTGCTATTGGCTTCACATGTTTCAGGTGTGAGCTCTAACCATTGCTGTTGGCCATTGTTGGTGGGACCTGGTGCAGCCCAGGTAATATCCAGTGGAAGTCCTTGGCAATTGTAAGGGCCAAGAATTAATTTCAGCAGAAAATCACATATCCAAATCTCAGTGCAGCAGCAAAACAAGCAAGATTATTTTTATACAAGCTTCTAAACATTTAAAACATTTAAAAATATTTTTAAAATCTACACCCATGACTAAACCTTGTCCCTGTCTCTAGCATGCATGCAGAACCAATCCCCATCCATCCCCAGGGGAATGACAGCTATAGTACCTGTAAGGAGTTCATGCTTTATTAGTCAAGTGGAACATTAATAAAACCTGGCCCACTTCATAATTTCCAGAATAGTCATTAATTAAAAAAGCTGTTTATTGGAATAGAAAACAAGTATTTGATTAGCTTTGTTACAGAACAATAGCTCTCCTAATTTTTATTCTGCATATTTTATTCTTTCTTTAGAAAATTCTCTTAAGAAGCATTTGAGATAATTCGCTTTTTAAAACTGTACAGTTTCTATGGGTTTGCTTTTTAAATGACAGTATACTTTGTAGATTTGATTATTATATTTTTCTGTTAAGATTACATTGGGCATTACAAAAGCATTCCCCACCACAGTGAAAAGAAAGCAATCCTGTTGGTTTATTGTAAAAGAAAAAAAATAATTAAAACAAAATTGCAGAGCTGTGGCATACTCAATCCAATTAGAGCATGACTCTTTACTACTCTTCATTTACCACATGAGAAAAAAAATAAAGTTACACCAGCAAGATTTCATTTGAAGCTGTTCATGCATGCTATTTGTACTGTATTTGATGGCATAATATTGTTTTGTTTACAACCTTTTCTTTCTTGTCATTCTATTATATTCTTTGTATGTATATAGTTTAAAAAAAAAAAGATTATACAAAGTATTTTGTTCTACCTCTGTAAAAATCATATTTGTGAATAAAGTCACATTGTCTGTGGATTATAGTATTGTGAATACAGCATTAACAGTTGGTGCTTTGCTTTTATTTGGGGGGTGGGAGCAGTGCCAATGCCTCTTGCTGGAGAGGTGGATTTTGACTATCCAAGGTGGGAATGTGGGGCTGACAGAGAGGGGCACAAATGCCCTGCTGAGTGCTTAGAGATGCAGGTTTAATCTGCTCTGAGAAAGGATTTCAGCCACCTCTGGCTTGAGTGTGTGGCCTGTAATATTGCACCTTCCAGGGTTTTGATCAAGGCAGACTCCTGTGTTCAGGCCAGAAGGCGAAGCAGGCAAAAGAATGACTAAGTTAAAGTGACCGTCCTCGTACAACTGGCAAGTGAAAAAAAATTGGTCTGTGGTGTGTGTGATCGAGTGTACAAGTTAAAAAATGGGTTAAATGGTATTCACTTTCAGGAAAATTAAAGGCAGGAAAATGTTTTGGGGCGGGAAAAGCTGGTGGATCAGAGCATCACAAAATGGCCAAGGATTTGTAGTTTTAAAATAGTAGCAGGATTCATAAAAGGATTTGAACAGGTAATGGAAAATACTTGCTATTATATTAAATAAGGTTAAGAGGAATAAAGTCTAAGGTTCCTGGACAAGCACAGCATAAAATAAACAGTCTTTTCCCTGGGGGATGGGAAGTAATTTTTCCATTAGCACTGGCCATTATATGAAGGTTTGTACCTCCCGTGAAATATCTATTGTTTTCTGTCATCAGAGCAGTCTTTGGGATTACACAGCCCTGGTATGGCAGTTTTCTCATGGTCTTGCAATATGTGTTAAAATTTCACTTATGTTTTGAAGAAGACTTAAAATATTTTGTCACTTACCTGGAAATAACTAGAAAAACATAAACAGGAAGGTAAAACCGTCCTGGTCCAGCTCACATCCTCCCCATCAGAAGAATCACATTTTACATTCTTTAACCTTGTTTATGTAGTTGCATGTTTTAATATCTATGCCTTTCTCAGTGTAAGAAGGTGACTTTCATCTTGGAAGCAAAATATATGCACCATTATAGCTATTTTCCTGTTGGTGTAATTTAGGAGGTCTTTCATCTCCAAGATAGCTTTCTGAAACCTCTGGTAACATCAGATGAAGGACAAAAAGAGAAATGCATTTAACTGTATAACTACTAGATCATTATGAATCTTCAAGACAAACACAAAAGCCATCAGTTGTGCATACATTGACTCACGCAGGCAGTGCTTGCTTTGTTTTCATGCTGCACAGGTACACACAGCTCCCCGGTGTTCCAGCTATAGGACAGTGCCTCAGCTCTGCCAAGGGACACCACTTTGTCACTGTTAGTCTTGGGTTTGAATTTATGGTTCTAGCTTATTATCAGTATGGCAGACTGGGTGTTGGCTTCTGCTGGGGCTCGGGAAAGAGCTGGGTTTGCGTGTCAGCCTGGAGCACCCCCAGCAGACTTGAATGCTCCTGCTGCACAGCCCATGAGGTGGTAACACTCCTCCCTCCTCTAAGCCTGAGCTGCTCATGCTTTTGGGGAAGCAGAAGGACACAGCACTCAGTAAACGGGATCAGAAGGAAAGAGCTGCCCATCTGCTATGCCTCTTGGTGCCAGCCCAAAAGGGAGTCTGGCTAGTGCTCCCAGGTGAACTACTGCAGCCTCATGTAGAGCATAAAAGCCAGAAACTTTTCCAGTTGCCCACAATTCCTCAGGATTTTATTTTTAGAACTTATTGTAAAACTTAAGTGCTGGTGGGGCAGGTACTTCTGTTCTGAATGCTGAGCAAAGACTACACACCCACAGGGAAGGGTAACTGGTAGGCTGGGTTTAGTCTTGGTTTATGCATAGAATCTTTCAAGAACAGTGTGCTTGAAACAGCTGAGTCCTTGGGGAAATTCTTACTGCAATGAAGTTAAGTCAAAAATTAATTTCTCCCCTTGAGAATGCAACAGTTATCCCCCCACATGCAGGTAAATCAGCAATACAGGTAAAAGACAGCATTGATGACCAACCAGGGAGATTCAGGGAGATGGTTTGGGCTATATGGCTGATGTATTGTCCTGCATCAGATTTTTCTTGTAGGAATTTTGGCCAGAGTTCTCAAAGATATAGGAGGGTGTTACTCCACCTTTTCCAGCATATATTACAGGTGGATTTCATCTCAAACAGCCTCTGAGCAGCTTTTGCATGGACTTCTACAGATGAACAACTCATCACAAGCTTCCTCTATAGTCAATGAAGAAAAATAAGCATTTTTAGGGTGTGAATTATCTAGTTTGGCTGTCCACTTCAACATAAGGTTATTCATCCAATCCCCCCCTCACTCTGAAACAGGGAGCACCAAAATTTAACCATGTGCTAGGTAGAAAAGCATTTCTTTTCTGTATTGTAAACCTATTCCCTTGTAACTGTATTGGATCACTTGGGAGAAAAAGGAAAGTGATTTCTGATTGTATAGACCTTGAATTTATAGACTTCCTTATCCTATTCCTCCTTAGTTTCTCCTGTTCCACATAGAAGACTCATTTCTCCCCTTACAGAAGCTGTCCTGTGCCTTTGATCACCCTTCACCTTAATTTGCCCAATTCTGTTTCTGCTATGCTCTGAGGTACACAGGCCCCAGGCTGTGATCCACTGTCACTCAGTGATGTTTTTATATTTTTTCCTTTTCTTTTGAATGTCTAACATTTTGTTGCCCTTCTCCACTACTGAACACTGAAGAGGTGCTCACAGACCACCTTCATTCACACTAAATCCTTTTCTTCAGGCCATCATTGTGTCTTTATTTTTAGAGATGTGTATTTTATGCTGTACATTAGTTTGTGTTTATCACCAGTGATCTCATCTGCACAGTCCTAGATTATCACAAGGTCTCTCCATGATGTTTCATAGCTACTTTTGGTTTTATAACCCTAGATTAAATGTGTCATTCACACTCAGCCACCTCACTATCATCTCCTCTTTTTTAACATGGTTTATATTGGGGAATCACTACAAAACCAGTACCTTTCTTCACAGATCTTTCTTATGTTTTAATCACTCATTAACCCACAAAAAACCTTACTCTGAATCCACTGGCTACTCAGTTTCTGTAAGAATCTTTCATAAGACAGCCTTTGCCAAATGGTTTCAAGAAAACCAAATACACAATATCACCTACATCAGCACACTCACTGGTTCCTTCAAAGCCTCTTAGTAGGCTTTTGAGGCACAACTCCCCCCTGCAAAAGCTATGTTGCTCCCCTCCCCTTTACACCATCAGTTATGTAGGATCTAGACACAAGGGGGTGGATGCAGCTTATAGAGTAAGACACCTACTAAAATAGCTTTGGTATCCTTTTGCAATCAGTGGAGAACTACTAAATAGGCTTTAAATGGAGCTATAGAGCTCATCTAGTGCAACCCCCAGGCAACACAGCACTTGGAGCACATGGCTCAGGTCATTTCTGGAAAACTTTTGAGTGTCTCCACAGGTGAAGACTACTCTTGGTCCTCTTAGTGAAAAACATCTTTTGAAGACCTAGTTGAAATTTCCCTCGATGCAGATTGGTTGCCAATCAGCTCCCCAAAAGGAAATGCCCACACTTGTACAGACAAATCTCTCTCTAGGTTTCACTACCAAGGTTGTCATTTACTTTAGAGGACACTAAGGCATGGGGCACACATGGAAGCATTTATATTTAAGTGTCTTAATCCATGAGCTGAATACCACACTCTGGGCAGGATTCAATGCTTGTTGGTAAGGTTTGGAAGACACTGCATGTGCTATGGGTACCCTGCCTGGCCTCTGGCACTCATGCTGAATGGCTGAGAGCCTGAGGGCTTGTGTTTTGTTTGCCAGCCCTGTGCTGATAGCTTAAATCCCCTGATGTGCCTCAGATGATGGTGGATGCCAAATCATGTGTCTAGCAGTTGGATTCTGTAGCTTCTACCAAAATTCAAGGAGGGAATTTCAGAGAACAGCAGTTTCCCAGATAACCCACCACTCCTAAAGGGGCAGCAGCTTCTGAAAACCCTGCCATCAGTACTGGATTCAAGGCAGGGCTGTGAATTCAGCAGCAGACAGCACTGACTGAGTGTATGCCAAGCCTGGTCATGAGGTGCTGCAATGACCACAGTAGGGCACAACTGGAGAACAGCCCCTATGCTGGGTAGCACTTAATGGCTTTGTGCACCTCACAGCTGGTGACAGCACTGCGTGGGATCATAGGCACTGCTGCTTTCCAGCACGAGAGGGGAAAAAAGGAAAACTGGCCAAAAACTTGAGTTCATGTAAAAAAAAAACCTATTAAACAGCAGTGTTCTAACAGCATTTGTTTCTAAACATGGCTTCCACTTCCTTCACACAGGAAGTCTGCTTAATTTTCCAGCAGGTTTCATTTGTGTTGTCCAAATTAGAAATGTTTGTTCCTGCATGTAGATATTACGATACAGAGTGAGCATGAGCAAGACCAGTTCTTGTGGTGTTACTGATGTTACACCTAATCTGTTGGGCAGAAGCCAAAGAGAACCCACAGCTCTGTGATCCCGATAAAAGCATTGCCAAGGTTGAAAGGAAGCCAGTGCTTTTGTAAGTTGCTGAAGGGGAAAAAAAACTCTACTGCTTTTTCCAGAATTACCTTTTGATTATTTATACATTTCTTTCCATGAGCAGGAATACATATTGCTTTTTGAAAAGGGAGATTGATTTAACATCTGGCGTGTCTAGCCGTGCATGGTTGAAGGAGCCGGATAAGCGACCTGACTTAGTGAGGTGTTCCTTAGAGAACAGAAGGTCTTTAGCATTGACTTTCTTATCTGTTCTACTGTTCATTCTAAGTAGGGCCTGCATTTTTATTTTATTTTATTTAAATAAGGTAATATAGAAGCTGAAGTAACAAGCTGGGATCTATTAGGATTAATCTGAAATTAATTACACTTCTGCCCATCCCATCCATTTCCATTGCAAAGACCCTCAAGACTGCTCCTAAGCAGTTAGATAGGATTTGGACTTCCTTAAAGTTATAGCACTAAATGCTGAGCTTTTTGAAGAAACACTTAGGCTATGT